TTTTCAGCTGTTTATATTATTATGCACCGAGTAAATACGCACATTCTATCCGTCTGTACATGCTGGCTCGGCCAACATTTGCTCACATCAGATAGGGTTTTGGTTACCACAAAGGTTTGCCAAGCCAAAAAGGATTAGGCCAAGCATCAGAGGCATTGTTTCTATACATTTTTAAACTTTTAAGCCACCGAAAAACAGGATTGTGAGAAAAAAGAGGCAGAGTGGGAAGAGAAAGTAATTATTCATCCTAAGCGCTCACCCACACCCCCACACCTTATTTAGCAAATCCCTCACTCCAATTTCAAAAGATGACCACTCCTGTTTCAACCTTTTTGAAACCCTTACCTGATTGTTGTCACTTTGAAGACATTTAGACCTTTTCAAAAGTTAAAATTAAAGTGTATTTTCTCAAATTGGGCCGTTTAAAAGGAATGGTCTTAACAAGCCATAACAAGCGGATGAATGACTGGCTTCTCAAACTTTAAGGGTATTATGCACCATGTCCAACTTCAAAGCCCGTCTTAACTCCACACTTTAATTGTATCTTCTTCAAGCCTGTCTGCCTGACCGCCATCTGATTCTGCTGACAACTGCACTCCTCTCTTCTTCATGCTCATCCTTCTATCTCTCCATTCCTCCGTCGACATTCCCCCCCCCTTCTTTCCTTTAGCTTTTCTAAAGTCTCTCTGCTACAAGTGTCAACTCAGGCAGAAGCCCTAAATTACTTTTTTGAATGAGTGTTGACATCTACCACTCACCCTTCAGCTCATGCAAACAGAATGATGATATTTGCCCTTTTTTTCCCTCTCTCTCGCTCCACACTCTATTTATTTCTCTATTGCTCCTTTTTTTTCTATTTCTCTCTGAGCCTACAAACAGACATTCACGCTTCTCTCCATATGGGCTTTAATTTGCCATTGTCCCCCAAGATATTCCTCGCTCAGGCTTGAGATAAAGGGATAATCACTTCAAAGGGAAGCTAGGGGGGAGACTGCCCCCTCCCTCCCAGCTGAAAGGACAAGTGGACAATACGCTAATTGAGAGGGGGAACTGATCACAGGGTCTGTTCAAAGGGACGCCTGGCCACGCCCCCTCCTCCCTCCGACGCACTTAATTTTATTAGTGTTTATGGTGATGCTTCAGCCAAAATTATCACTGAAACCCACCAAAGCCTTTGAACTCCAAAATATTGGGTTATTTGCAATTAGCCACCCTCTCCTCTGTTTTTCTGAGCTATTTTAGAACAAGTATAGGATTTGAGCAAAGGAAATGGCGATAAAACAGGCTGTACAGAATGTATTGTTAACTTTATGGAAACATATGGGCTGGAGTGTGATGTCAATACAAAAGCGACAACAAGGGACAGGCCTACAGTTTGAGTGATGCAACTAACAGTCAGTGTTGGGAGGGTTGATGTAATATGTAACTTTTACATTTGATTAACCTTTGATCATTTTTTCTAACAAATGTATTACATTTTGTTTAAACTTAAGAAGTACTGAAAACATAAAGCTAAACCTCACAAGAGTAGTTAACACTGATACTGTCAAACTTTTTTTATATATATATAACTACAACTAAGACTAAATGTGTTTTCTTAGCTGATAACATTTACATTTATATTATAAGTAAATTACATAACTCCATTACATGTATTTAGTTACTCCCCAAAACCAATGATACACCATCAAAAGTGCTCTATACTACATGAAGAAAGAAACCAACTTCACTTCTATGATTAAAGTGACCTTTCTATTGCCATGTATCCTGGTGTGACACCTGTACTAACAGTGGTGAAATGCATACTTTCTCTGTGCCTTTAATGCAGGCTCTAATTAAAGAGAACCTTCATTTTCAATCTGCGGTGATACACCAGATGCCTTTAATTTCTTCCCAACCACAAGCTCTCAATTAGCCTCCAGGTCACCCTGTTTTATTGGGGCTTCTAGCAAGTCAGTGACGGCACTCTCGTCCTGTATTGTGCTTTTAAAGCGTTTGGATCTCCCTGTGAAATGGTTAGGGCCCCAACAAAGGGGTCAGGGCAGGGTCAACATCAAAAAGGGGCTTCTTGTGGTTACTTTACAGCACCCTCTCTCTTTTGTCACTGCTGAACACAAGAGTGGGCATTCAAGGGTCAACAGGTGTGGTCTCATGGGTTTAGCGCCTCATGACAATTTACAGATGAATTAAAAAAGCAAAAATTGTATCACAGAAGTTTTATATAGAAATGCATTAAAAATTAAAATATCCTGAATAGTTGAATAGTCTGATCTTAACATGTCATTATAAGCAGACTGAGCGAAGCATTAAGGAAGCTTCCTGTCTGTCAGCAAAAATGGAACTGTCTGAGGACTCCTTTTTTTCCTTTTGCAGTGATATGTGCGGCCTAATTTAATTTGAGCAAAGATAACATCTTATCCCAAATGTGAAATATCGCACTTGTCCTGCACTTCAAAAAATACATTTTATCTCAATTCTCCTTTTAAAGCTGACTTAGAGAAGTTAATGCGCAGATAACAGTATAGCTACATATTTCATGGCTTTAATTTGGTCTTTGCTGATCAGCCAAGTGCCCCTTAAATGTCACAATGTTGGCGCAGCTCAGCCTTTTTGTCATTTTGTGTCCAATCTCGCAGACAGCGAGCACTTCCATTTGCAAAGTGTTGGAAACTTTTTGTGAATTTTGGTCGCTGGATTGTTGAATTTGTGGCGGCAATGTTTGTTTTACCAAGCCCTCCAGCATAAACAGTGGCTACGAATGAACTCTTCATAATCACACTGTAACACACATACATGTTAATGCAAACGCAGACTGACGGACTGAGAAACACAATCACTGTCATACAGCTTTTTGATAACACCTTGCAGTGAACATTTTACATTTCAAAAAATAAGCTTGTCTCAATCATCAGACGAGCTTCCAGCATGCAGGAAGTGGTTGGCAGGATGTCAATGTAATCAAACAAGAAAGGCTTGTGATTGTGCATATTTGTAAAAAAGCGGCAATATGTTAAAAACACTCAGCAACATGTGGCAGATCTAAAATCTACAAGTTTGTTGCAGGATGCCGTGAGAAATATTGATCATCTAAATAAATACAAATATGTTCAGTTAATTGCTTGGCAATCCCCAGTGCCAATTAATTGTGAAGTGGATTACATGTCACCTTAAACCATGCGTCCGAGAATAAAGATTTGGACAAACAGAAAAAAGACGGTAACACATTCGATCAACATGGGAACTGCTGCACAGCATGATTTGTCTCTATGTAAAGCTGAACATGAACTAATCACCACTTCAGGAACTCGGAAAAGTGGAATTTCATTAGTTTTCTTGTCCTGTACCATCATGAGAGTTTTGTGAATTTGAATCGTCTGACTTATATAATTATATTCTCCTTTAAAGTTGATTTCAGACATCAAAGGGACAATATAGCCTTTGAAGTACCATGGGATTGGATCACTGTCTAACCCACTCTTTAAGATTCTGTCACAATGACATTAGGGAAGTCATGTGAATTAAAAGACTAGAAAACAGCTCTTGCCTTTGCTCTCTGTCCAATTTCAATCAAAATGTCATGCTGTGCCATTTTCTCTAAATGTGGAACTGGCAAGTGTGTTAGGTTGACATCTTTGTGGCGAAAATCCTGTGACTAATATGTAAATTATTTGACAGTTACACTTTAAAGGATTAAAAAATGAGTGATATAACTTAAAGAATATGTTTGAAATCTGTGTGGACATTGTTAAATTACATGTATCCACATATTCTTTAGTGTCACTCCCCTTACTATGGTAACTATGTAATTAAGAGTGAATATTTCTGAAATGACATAAGGATAATACGCCCAATCTCCCTATAAACCAATGTTAAAATTACAAAGAAAAATCTTGCAGTAAGAAAAGAGATAGATATGTACCACAATGGACTGTAAATGTATTGTAAACCCTTTTATAATGTATTTTCCTCAGCTATGAGAGACTACACTAAACTTCCTCACGTCACTTGAAGAGGCAACAGGCAACTAAAGTACCGCTTTTGTTTGCTTTGTGTTTCTGTTGAAACTTTGTGTAGTAACAAGAATAATGCTATTGGCGCGGTAGATCACTTACTTCTGACGCTCCAAAGCCTCGGGGAGTTGGCTTGAGATTGCTTGTCTTTGATAAGGTCCTGGCATACATGTAAATCTTTTCCCTGTCTAGAAAAGTTGAATAAACGTTCATGAACGTCTAAGCGAATGGGTTTGCAAACGAGAACTGTTTAACACAAAGGATTATTCAATTTGTTGGTGTTTTCAATCCTCAATCTTCATTCTGGTGTGTTTTATTGTATTGTTTGCTGCGAAGATGAGACGCTGCGTTTGTATGTATCTTCCGGGACCAGGCCAGCGGTTCGTTACTTTGAAGTCCACAGTTAAACCTTCAGCCCAGTTGGTTTAGAAACAGCCCGGAGGATTTCTACCGCCTGCCATGACTTCTTGAAACACTACCTGGGGAGAAAAGTCGAGGGCAAAACGTTTCTCTCCTTTATTCGAAGCTGTATTCAAATTCATCAGTGTGTTAGGACATTACAGGACAATGCCGAAGCGGTTGTAGGCAAGCCTGTTGTTGGACTACTTTACTTTCACGTTTAAAAAGGGAGGCTACTCGGGTACATGGATGGTAAGTTGTAGGAAAGCTGTTCCACAGGCCCCCTCTCTTGGCCGCTTTGATGTGCTGCTGCTGAGCTTTGAAGTTGAGAAATGCGGGCTATGTTTCTTGTTTGTGGGCGAGAAATACGGTGAGATAGATAAGAAGCTTATGTGTGTGTGCGTGTGAGTGTATGTGTAGCCCAGATAAAAAGCCGAATATTTGTCTGGTGGTGCGTCTTCTAGCTGGGAAAAAAGTGGGATGTATTCTTCTAACGGAGCCCCCCCTCCACCTCCTTTTTTACCTCCTCCAGATTTTGACACCCCCAGTGATCTACATAGGGACTGAGCCTGCCTACTCTGAGGTCAGTTGTTGAATGGGACAGGGTACATCAAACTACAGCGCTTGTTTTGCAGCGAGATAGGACACATGTGGCACGGCACAGGCTGTAAATAGTCCGTCGTCGCTTTTTCTGCTGGATTACTGCTTGGAGAATTCTGGACTGTATTAGGCTCTACTATAAATGGAGTAACAGTTCAACTTTTTAACGGGTTTTACTCTGGTTGGATCTGCTCTACGATGGTATGTTGTTTTACGCACGTTTTTTTTAGCCTTCATCCATTGAATTTTAGAATCGGTTACATTGTGCTAGAGTAACATTGCCTGTTAAGAATGTTTTACCTGTAATGAGGCATTTTTGATCGCCTATCACACAGTTTATGCCGATTATCTGTGTATCGTTTAGGAAACAAGTCTCTTAAGACTTGGCACCGAGGCTCCGGTAAAGGCTTTTCTTTTTTTTAATGAGGTTTTATGCCATATATATCGCGTATTTCTGCCGTGTTGGTAGTGTAGACACGTTACCGAGTATATGGCTTTAATAGTGTCCTGTAATAGCCTTCTTAAGTATGTATTAGGACGATTGGTTGCTTACATTTACGCATGAGCCAATAGTTTTTCCCGCGGGGCTTTTTACCCCTCGTACATTACAACGTTTAAGGTCATTGTGTTGCAGATCAGATGCATTTCCACTCGTCTGTACATTTCTGGGATGGTGAGAAGTGTGGAGACGAGTCTGTGTGTGTGATGCAGACAGGGGTATGGTACGGTCGTCCGAAACAGATTGGGAATTAATTGGAGTTGAAGCCTGTGACATGGACTCGTTAGGAAAACACGTGTAAGCCACAGTTGTGAGAATACGGTTTCGGTGAAGAATGAGGCTGTGTGAGATTATTACTCTTGTGAAATGTGTTTTGATGTGACAGATCAATGCACGTTGAGAATGTAGGCTGCAGTTGATCTCTCATTTAGATTATAAATAGATAAATGAAACGAAAAGAGCCTTTCATATTTCCGTTCTCTGTGAACCCGGCGAGGGTTTTTGAAAGGGACTGTTTACTTGATGTCTTTCTTTGAAGTTCAGCAGGATCTGGCTTTGATTAGATCAATACTTTGTGTTTCAGAGTGAAGAGGAGCTAAGAAGCTCCCCCGCTGCTTTCAGAGAGTGAGGAGGATTAGGCTGGTGCTCAGTGGAGGCACGACGGCACTCTCACACGGCAACCGGAGCTGGAGCCATGAGCAGGGCGCTTACGGAGCACATCATCAGTAGCTTCCGAGAAGATGCTCCTCGTCCTCCGGTACCGGGGGAGGAGGGAGAGGCGTCATGCTACAACCCCAGCAGATCTGCCAAAATGAGAGCCCAGAGCAAGGTTAAAGATATCCCCGCCGCCTCCGCGCCTCCCGGCTCCACGCCGCGGAGGAACGAGGATGGACTCGGGGAGCCAGAGGGCAGCGCGTCCCCGGACTCGCCCCTAGTCCGGTGGACAAAGTCACTGCATTTTCTCCTGGGTGACCAAGACGGCGCTCACCTCTTTAGGACCTTTTTGGAGCGGGAGAATTGCGTGGACACTTTGGACTTTTGGTTCGCCTGCAACGGCTTCAGGCAAATGGACTTAAAGGATACCAAAACGTTACGAGTTGCCAAAGTTATTTTCAAGCGGTACATCGAGAACAACAGCATTGTGGCCAAGCAGCTGAAACCGGCCACCAAGACCTTCATAAAGGATAGTATTAAGAAACAACAAATAGACTCGGCCATGTTTGACCAGGCACAGACGGAAATTCAGTCAAACATGGAAGACAATGCATACCAGATGTTTTTGACCTCTGACATATACCTCGAATACGTGCGCACGGGCTGTGAGAACGCAGCATACATGAACCACGGGAGTATCGGCAGCCTGAAGTTGATGTGCGGATACCTTCCTCCTCTCATGGAGGAAGAGGAGTGGAGTTGTAATGACCTGAAGGCAAAAACGTTAGGGTCTGTTGTTGGACTGTCTGCGAAAACCCTGAGGGCTACTGCTACCATCCGGACAGCAGCTGCAGTGCTGGAGAATAGTTGCAGGTAAGAGCCGCGCTCACCCACAGCATGCATGTGTGTGTTATTACATTTGAGTGCATGTGTTTATTTGTGGTATGCACACTTTCCTTGTGATCATCATTCCGTCATTAGTTAAACTACAGCGAATATGTGGCAGTTGGCAGTTTTTTCACAAATGCATAAGAGAGAGATAAAGGCACTTGATCAAAGAGTCTCAGAGGAACATGCATGTATATTTTTGCCCTCCTGCCTTGCAGTCAGTCAAGGGGTTGGAGGGGTGGAGGGGCGGGGTGGGTACAAAACATCAATGGATCTGAGGCTTCCTTTTAAGTAAATGGTGTCTTGCAGGCAGCCCTCTGCTGGCTTGCCCAAGTTTCCTGTGCTTTGAAACCCTTCCTCCGGTTCAGGCACAAATTCAGACACCAAGCCTCATGTCTGTTACAGCTACATGAAACAGTGTGATGCTATTGTAAAGTTGCTTTATTTTCTCCCTTTTTCTCTACTCTCTAAGCCATATTGCGATTGTACACTGTCTTAAAATCTCCCTAACCCAGAGAAATGACAATACAGAGTTAAGAGAACTTTATCCGTCAGTCTTATGCCAAGCCGGGATATTGTTCTCTTGGTCAGAGATGAAAGCAGAATTGTTTGTGGAAAGCATTTGGGCTTTTATCTTAAGAGCTCGTCCCACACGTTGTCCAACAGCTGAAATCTTTTCAAGCCAGGAACATTTTCAAAAGCTGGATGTTATGCATGAGTCTGCATCAAAGGGCTCTTTAAAAGTTTTTCACTCAACTACTTTGTCCTCACATCTGGACGCAATTGTTACTTAGAGGCTGGACAAGTTCTTGATACTTTGGTTGGGTCAGGAAGTGGAATTTACTAAATAATCCATACTTTCCCTCTCAGGTTAACTAAACATTTAGTGAGACTAGAGACTAAATATGCACCCCCCCTCCCCTTGATTTTTAAAAGCTGTGTAAAAAACAGAATAGATTAAGTCTCATAACTCAACTTTAACACCCCCTTGAGGATTTTATCCTTCATGTGAGCAGATGTCAGATAACATCATCACACAGTTACTCATTTGCTTGAAAGGGCCCATGTTGAGCCAGGAACCAATAAGCACACGGTTTGTTGACATGTGGGCATCTCCTGGTTTCCTGGTGTGATCCCCTGCATTCTTGTTTTTCACTAAAAGAAAATGGAGAGGGAGAGAGCCCCCTCTTTCTCCCTTCCGTCACCCGCGCTTTCCCCCTGCCCCTCACCATCTCTTTAGGTCAACCAATTTCCATCTCAAACATGTGGAACTCATTTTGCCACTGCACAGATCCCTTTTCCCTTCTCTTTGGAGAAACCTCCAATACTCAACTCCAAAGTGATAGAAAAACACAACAACAAAACATCCTCATCTCAGTTCCGCAGCTTCAACCACCAATCCCACTTTGCCATAGAGTGTGTGTTTCAGTGTGTTTCAGTGTGTTTCAGTGTGTTCCTTTCTCTTTTTTCTCTATTCAGCACTTTTATCTTTCTTTTTTGAAAAAAAAAAATGTGTCTGACAGAGACTAAGCATGCTTTGGAGAGAGACAGGGAGAGACAAGAGGAGGGGAAGGGGGGGATCATGAAAGAAAGAAAAGAGATGGAGAAAGAGAGCCCAGCTGTGCTAAATACCTGACTCTTTGCGCGGACCTTCCAAAGGTCAGGTTTGTGCTTGGGGCCTACGGCTTTAGTCATGCTGGGGTTCTCCTCTCAGCACTCCCGGCAGAAGGCATTCTCATAAAGAAAGGGGCCCTCCTTCCCCCTTTCCCTCTCTCCCTCACCCTCCCTCACTAAAGCTCAAGTTCCCCCTTCCTCTTCTTCCGTCCCTCTTCCTTGTCCACCCCCTTCACTACTGAAACAGGAATGCAACACAGCAGGAGAGAGTAGAAAGACAGAGAGAGACTTTAGAAAGGAAAGCAGGGGGGAATGGGGAAAGGAAGGGCCCCAGACTGGATGACAGAGAAAGGGAGAGACAGAAGGAAGAGAGCATAGAGGAGAAAACACTCCAAAGAAAGAGAGAGAGATTCAAAGTGGAAAAGTGCCTGTCCCAAACAAAAGAGTGTGGAGATAGAGAAAAAGAAGGTATATTCTGTTGTTCATTCACACACAGAAAAGCGGCTCACTTCACTTACTCCAACCATCAACCCCCCCCCCCCCCCCCCCCCCCCCCCCCCCCAAACACACAACCCCTGTATGTTAGGGAGGAGAGACATGACAGAAGGTCGAGAGACAAAAGGGAAAAGCATACCTCTATCTCTAACATTGTTGTCACATTGTCGCAAACAAACTCCAAGCTGTCACCTTCGCTTTTTGTTGTAAAAAATAACAGAGAAAGTCAACTCTACCCAGCTGTCACATCTCTCCCCTCTTCAAATCACAACTTTACATTCAAATTTGGGACATTTCTTTCTCAGGCCCCATCGTCGAGGAGACCCTGCCAGCCCTTACTTTGTCAACTCCGGATACATTTTTGCCCCCGCCACCAGTGCCAACGACAGCGAGATCTCCAGCGATGCTACGACGGATGATTCCATGTCCATGACAGACAGTAGCGTGTAAGTGGTTTTCGTTTTTATTCAAATCTAACCGTTTTTTTGTCAGTTTGATATCTACCCAGATAATGTAGCAACTTCAAAAGACATTGAGTTGACTTTGGCCACAGCTCTGGATTTCATTGTTTCCAAAGTATCTGAACGTGCCTTGGCCAGGGTTCAGTCAACACCTTTCCAGGAAAAAGTCTAGAGGTGTCAGAAAAAATATTTGGCCTTGTCGTCCAACAGACTCAGCATTTCTTGAGGCCAGGGAACTGTTGCGAAATAATGGCCCGTAATGTATTTTAATTATCTTCTATGATTGACTCCAGGTAATTCTATTAATGTGTAGTTGTTACTGTGGCCTCCGGGGAGATAACTCTGGGAAAGTCATTATGTCTGAGGACCTTTTGAAGTTTATTCTGATGCGTTGCAGGCTGGTGAGAAGGTTGAAAAAAATTGAAAACGTCTTGATGTGGGTGGGGGCGTTGCCTCATTTTCCTCAAAGTTGAAATGTATCCATCCCACCCACCCTTCTGCCACAACAGACTTGTTTTTTTCATATTATCTAATCGCTTTTTCCCTTTGAAGAGCTGAAGGAGAGGGGGGGAGGGAAATGGCCATTCGGGCCTCAAGACAAACTCATTGAAAAATGTTGGCACCAAATGAAAGGAGGCTTACTCACATGGTGGGTCGGTTTCCTGCCACTGGCCTCTGCGGCGTGCTGAGATCATGTGTCTTTCACAGGGGTTACTCATTTCTAGACCTTGGGACAAGGCATGAGGAACTCCCCCTGGCCAGACTAGGGCACCCCCAAAAAATCACCTCACCCTCCCAACCCTCCTCAACAGCGTCTCTCCTCCACCCTCCAGAGCCAATAGCAGGAGTGGTTAGGCTCGAAGTGCAAGGGAGTGAGAAAATAAAGTGCATGGAGTATAAAGGGCTTAACTGAATCGCTTTCAGCCTATTGTTAGGTGAGGGGAGCTTAGGGGGATAAGAGGGTGGCTGGCTGCTTTGAAAATGACTTGCACAACTGAATAGGAGATCCCCATAAAGTAAGGGCCCATGAAAGAGTCCAGGGCTGTTTTCTCTTCCCCAACCTGGACAAAGCACCCAGCCATCACATGATTCCCTGAGGTGGAGACAGTTTGGATTGATAAAAACATAGTTAGCGAAAGGGAAGTTGCTTTGTGTGCGAATTATGTTTTGCCTCCAAGTTTGGGGTTCTTGTTAGCACGCAAGTTCCTCTGGGCTGTTGAGTTTTACTTTGGAGGAGTTTCCTGTGTTTCTTCCTGCACCTGGAGGGATGATGGCTTGTAGTCTCAAGGGTACTGTTTGTGAAGCATTGATTTTTTGGTAGTAGGCCTCACTTTCAAAAAGCTTGCTGCAACACAGGCAATATCGGGAGCTTGGCTCCATTATCTTCTTGATAATGTCACTCTGAATTGTGACTTGTAGAACTTGTTTAGGGTAACAAAAGAGAATGTCCATGTGTCAAAGTCATATTCCTTTAATATTCACACCAAGGGCTTTGACACAGCGACCCCTCTTGTCCTTGTCCCCAGCGTTCTGTACTGCTAACTGATTTTAATAAAAACCCAGCTTCTTCTTCTCTCATTTGAGGGAACAATTTGATTAGTGTGTCCTTTTACAGTGGTTAAAAGGCACACTGTGAATTTAAATCTAATTTCCCAGATAAAGAACAAGAAGAGGAGGATTTGGGAAGGGGGGGGGGGGGAAGGGGTGGGGGATTTTTTTCTCTTTTTGCTTATATCTTATTTATGGATTTACTTGGACGCTGGGGAATGCTGCTGCACCAACTTCAAACATTACCTTATCTTACAAACCAGCCTTTTGATGTTGCTGAGATCAGAGGCTCACAACACAGCGCTTGCCAAACGAAGATGGCAGCGAGTGCATATGTGCATGAGTGTGAGATTTCAAAGAGGCAGCAGAAAAAGTAGCGTTTGGGCTAGGTCAGACACTTCTGAGCAGCCAAAACGGCCAAGATAATTGGCCCAGCTTAAGTGGCATATGACTGGAAATGCTAGCAGACACAGAATGAAAAATGGAGAACAAGATTCCCAGAATAAATGCTTAATTGTCCGGAGACCACTGGTATTCCTAGCTACATCTCTATTCTCATATTAATATGTCAGAGCTACCAAGACAGCAGCGCTTGCTAGCGTGTTGTAGTTTCTGTCTCTAACCAGCTACTGAGCTAAGCGCTAATTCGTCTGCTTTTGAAACAACCATTGTCAGAGTTGACAAGGACTGATGTAATCTTATCGGCGGGGCTCTTCTTTTGAAGCCCACAGTGTGATGTTTAGCATATCTCTACCATTGTCCTGGTGTGTTTTGTTATGTGTGTTTTTGTTGCCTTGGCTTCAAGGGCTCCCCGGCCTTTTGATTTAGCTGTAATGGGCCTAGTGGGTGGTGTTGTGTCGGTCACTTCAATGATGAACTGCCTCCAAAAGGCTCTTTCTCCACAAAGATTGTATAATGGCACAAATGCATTGGCAGTTGATGTGGAGGTATTGTGCCCGGCATAATAAGTTGCAGTAAATGATGAAACAGAAACACCAATTATAAAAGAAAGTAGTTCAAGTGGTATTTTTAACCAAATGTAAATATTGTTGTTTTTACAGAGATGGAATCCCTCCATATAAACTGGGCACAAAGAAGCAACTCCAGCGAGAGATGCACCGCAGTGTCAAGATCAATGGCCAGATTACACTACCCCACTTTCCTGTAAGTCCTACTTCCTTAAGTTCTACTTCCTGTCTCAGTGTTTCCTTTTTTGTAATCTGCTAAACTCAAACTTTTACACACTGACAGACAACTGGGTCCTGATTCCCTCGAGGAGTTGTGCTTTATTTTATTTTATTATTTTCCAGAGCTCACGTTGTGACAGAATACTATATTTCATTCCCCGAGTCGTTTTCATATAAAAGTCAGGGTAAATGAAAGGCAGCATTTGCATACCACTTCACTTCTTCTGCTGTTTAAAGCCACAACCCCCATCTTTCCCCCAGCTTCTGTAAGGCTGTAAATATAAACTTGTGTTGTCATCTTTGTATTCTGATTCAGTAGCTGTAGCATGTCACAAAGAGCCATAGCTTAATATGTGTTATGCATCAATGACAGCTGTCGTTGTAGCATAGGTAATTAACATTGCAACAGTGTTAATGCTAATGACTTAATTCAACATTTAGGTTGCTCATCTCCCACCCTGATATCTGGTCCTATTAGTATTTGGGTCATGCAGTGTATGTGTTTTAAATTAAATATGTTGTTGACCTGCTGAAGTTGTGGTGGAAAGCTATAAGGAACTGGGTCAGAACAGATTGACACAGGTTATGAGTTGGCTCTATTTGAGGCACGAAATTAAATGTGAAGATCTTTTGTCTTCATATCCAAACACAGGTGTGTGTATGTGGAAGTATGTTGAGTGCATGCAATCGACAGTGTTGTCTGTTCCGCCTTTTTTCTCTTTTCCTCTCTCTCTATCTCTCTTTCCCTTTCCCACTTGCACTCCTTTAATGTCTCCCTCCTGATTTGGAGATGGCTCTGTCTCCCATGATGCACCAGCCCCAGGCAGCGGGGGCCCCGTGCAGGGCTGGCGCTCCTTTGCCAGCAGCTCTGCTTGCCTTTCTTCTTCTTCCCTTCATCGTGTCTACAAAGAGATGAGAGGAACAACAAAAAAAGAGTCAAAATCAAGAAAGCCAGTGTGCCAAATAACAAAAAGTAAGAAAGGCAGAGAGAGAGAATCCGGTGCATATAGTTAAAGAAAAAGGAGGATAATGTGACTAGAGTACCTCAGAGCTGCCCTGCATGCAGCCGGGAAATAAATTACTACTTCCCCTCAGATCTTCCTAGTATTTGACTCTTCTATCCTCTCCCTCCCTCTTTTCCCTTCTCTCCCTCGCTCTCTCCCTGCCACCATTGACACTTCACTAACGCACGTCTCAATCCTCTTCCTCTTTTTTCACGCTGTTAATTTTGTCCCCCTCTCCCTTTTTTTCTTCCCCTCTCCTCTCCTCACTCTCTCTTCTCTGTCGATATCTGGCTTTTATTCGGAGATTTAAAGCTGCGTGTCCCTCCCACCCCTAGTGTGCGTTTGATGTTTGACAAGGGCCCTTTGAAGTGTGCTGACTTCAGAGGCTGCCTAGCTGATGGCTTGGTCGGGCTACAGAGGGTGCAGGCAGGGGGCCTCCCCTCCAAGCGAGACCAACTGCTACCCTGCCATCACTACCCCCTTTCTCCCCCCCCCCTCACCCAGCAGCCTGGCACAGTCAAGGGCACTGGGCATGAGACGATCATGGGAGGGATGGGCGGTGAAGAAGGTTCAGGTTAGCTCCAGGGCAAGGGCATCTGGATTAGGCCTTTTTGGAACAAGATAGAGCAGTGGATTAATGCAGCATAGTGCATCTGTCAAAAACAGTACGAACTTACATCCACACACAATCTAAATGGTCCTCCCCCTGTGTTGTTTACCCTGCAGAGGACACATCGGCTGCCTAAGGAGATGACCCCTGTGGAGCCGTCGGCCTTTGCTGCACAGCTCATATCCAAGCTGGAGAAGCTGAAGCGAGAGCAGGACACCATAAGCTCGTTGGAGGAGAGGCTGCAGCAGATCCAGGAGGTATGGATGCAAACAAAACTGCTCTGGCAATTCCACACACATTGAGCATTGCTTTTATTAAGAAATTCTAACTTGTATCCAAGTTACCTCTGGAGAAGGCACTATGAAAGCCTATGTGCCAACTTTAGCATGTCGAAGAACAGGGAAAACACCAAGGGATTTGAAAGTCTGTCTTGGTTTAGCTTCTTCTTCCCTTTTCCTCTCTGTCCTCCTCTACTTCATCTGGAGGAACTTTCAAACTTATGTTTCTAGACACACTTGAAGCTCCTTCAAATAGTTAGCACTTAGCTACTCTCCAGTGGCACGCTTGCTGAGTGTGTGCAGTGCCAGTCTCTTTGTGAAGCAGAGGCAAACTCTGCATTATAGATGAAGCGCACCCAAAGCCTGTTAGCGAAGATAACAGTGCGGCAAAAAGGAAACTCAAATCAAGTTATCCAGGCGTTTGCTCTCACTGATTTCACAGGACGATAGATATAAGTTAGTGTAAGTTTAGACACAAATTGAATGGTGGTTATGACTGTTTTATCAATTGACTTAACTTTTTTATTATTTTCTTTGCCTATCTAGGAGGAGGAAAGGGAGGAGAGCAGTGATCCCACCAGCAGCACCTCCATCCAACACCCTCTGCTCCCGTCTGGCAGTCAGTGTGAGGAAGACCCTCAGGCTATCCTGGACGAGCACCTGTCCCGTGTGCTGAAGACACCCGGCTGCCAGTCACCAGGTGTGGTTCGGCACTCGCCACGCTCTCGCTCTCCAGATCAGACAGAAGCTCTGGTGTCCTCTGGCCACGGGCCCTTCTTCGGTGCCTACCCTGGGGCAGCCAAGGTTCTCATGACTGGCCGTCAGTCCACAAAGCACATCCACCACCACTACATCCACCATCACCACGCTGGGCCCAGGACCAAGGAGCAGATTGAGGCCGAGGCGGCTCAGCGCGTGCAGTGCCTCTGCCCTCCAGGGGGCGCCAATTATTCCGACTTCACCCCTGCGTAAGTGCAACCTTTCCCACCACTTTTCCATCAACAGTTTACATTTACCCTTAGTTACTTTATATTCTTAAATCTGCATTTTGTCTGGTGCTAACTGGCCTCTTCTTCTTCCTCCAGTCGCTGCAGCACTTTGTCCAAGCGGCCAATCAAGGCCATCGATGAGGGCGTGTCCACCCGCCTTCCCCTAGATGCCACCGACCGCTCTCAGAATGTTTGGCAGTGGATCCTCGAGAGTGAGAGGCAGGGCAAGCATAAGCCACACAGGTAAGAATCGCCACAACGGACATTGGCACCACGAAACACTAACAGACCGCACCCTCTTTGTCGATAAGTCACTTTGGTCCTAGTCGTGGAGATTTCTTTTGACATTTAGTTTTAGTTTGTTTCATGGTAAATGATTAACCTGTTGAACCCCATCGACCCGCCCCCGGGCGGAAAAACGCATCATCTGCAGGAAACAGCGTCTGAGGGCTTCTTAATATTTAATAAACTATGAATGTTTTATATCCATGTAACGGGAAGAAACTCAGCTAACTGATGATATGAACCATTTTTAGCAAAAAAAAACACAAGACTAACGCTGAGCCTCTGAATCTGCCCTGAGCGAAAAAATCTTAATGCCGTTATTACAGAATTCTAGCTATACTGATCGATATACTTATTGGATCTGCACAAACAAGTTTAGCTAACATCCTAAGATTCCACAGATTATAGAAGTATAAGGATCATCACTGAGCGATCAGAACTCGTGACAGGGGAAGCAAATACAGACAACACACGACGTAGCTTTAGGTAGCAAAACACGGAGATATGCTCACCTTTAGCTGTTATTCTGATCAAAAGCCGTGTTCAATGGCATTAAAACGAGAACAAACGCGGCTGAAGGTTAATCCAATGTGTCTGTCACTTTGAAAAAATGATTGATAATCCATAATTCAATTTGTATGCAGAAATCGGAGAATAAAAATTAGCTGCTAATGGTAGCCACCAGAGGTTAGCGCAGCTTCCGGTTTTTCTACGCGTCACTCTCACTCCTTATTTGGTAACCTGTGTGCGTATGTGGAACTTTCCCTCCATTCCATTGGCTCTAGCGGTTAAAAAGAGATGTCAATCATCAAAATCGAGCAAGGGGGGCCAGAGATAGGTCAAATCCACCCAAATGACCCCAGAAGTGTTTTTTTTTTGCTACATTTCTCTAAAAAGGTCAAATGTCACTTGTTTTGCATCAATCTTGATACAGGGTACTTATTATATGTTGTACTTTGGATTCCTAAAGCTTTTAGTCTACCATCCCATCATTCAAGGGTAGTTTTCACTATAAGTAAAAAAAGAATCTTTGGACGGACACTATAATTTACAGTTTTTTACTATGTTCAATCTGAATTTTCTTTCAAATAAAAAACATCTATATTGATTCTGACTTTTCTACATCCAACTCACAGGTTTATCATTACTTTGAGAAAAAAGATTATTCATTTTCCCCTTTTAGAAGGGAAGATATATAGTCAATTGTTCTGGGAATGTCATTTTCGAGCCTGAGACCTGGAAAACAGGCTCGGGGTTGAACAGGTTAAAAGAAACAAATAAGTACCTATTTGGTAAACACAACATTTAAAGTGGCAGTTTTGCATGATTATTTTTGGAGAAAGAGCATTTTAGAGATCCGTGAATTAAATCAAGTAATGAAAACACGTGTAAGTGCTGTCCTAGACTAAATCATTATTACTCCACTAAGCACTGGTGTCTGGAGTTCTCAGCTCATGTTGTATTTTATCCCGACAGCACACAAGGCCTAAAGAAGTCCAACCCTCTCGACTCAAAGACTCTGCCCAGCCGGACTCACTCCTCTTGGGGCGGAGGCGGCATTGGCAGCGGAGCTCACCTCCGTGGCCACCACCCCGGCCACCCTTTCATCCAGGACCCGGCCATGCCCCCCCTACCCCCACCCAACACCCTGGCACAGCTGGAGGAGGCCTGCCGCAGACTAGAAGAAGTCTCCAAGCCCCCAAAACAAAGGTATGGCAAACATTTTGCTTACATACATATTCCCCATCTTTCACATTTCATGGATCACCTTATTATACATTTTAAATGGTGTCAAATGATTGACCTTGATAACAATGTGATCGATTTCTGTGGTTTTAACAGGCATTCAACAGCAGCCAGCAGCCTTCCGAGAGACAGAAGCCATCCGGCAGCTGGAGGCACCCCGCTCTCCAGCCCCGGACTCACAGCAGACGAGTACGTCTTCTTTTATCTATGACACATTACTGTCTTCTTTTCTACAGCTCAACTTCTCTTAATTAGATTTTTTTTTTTAAATCAGATTTCATTAGCAATAGACTTTGTTAGCGTTCCCTCCCTCTCCCAGCTCGTGTTTTCACCCTCCTCCTCGCAGATTTTCTCACTCTCCCGTTCAAAGAGAGATGTTGTGAGTCAGCATAGCTATGTCTTTGAACTCCTCTTCTCTCGCCTTTTAATCATTTAAGATTAAACATGCTTTAATACGCAATCCTAACTACCCACCCATCTCCCAAACCAACACATTCACCACTGGAGCCCAACAAAGTCGTGTTAAGCAGCCCCTGATAACTCAAATGTACCTCTCCCCTTCATACATGTGTTGTTGAATGAGTGGGTGTTTGATGTTAAGCTACAGCCACCTGACTCTAAAGCCTCTTTCAGTTTTAATTAGTTGACCCTTAGGTGAGCTAGCTGTCTGTTAACATCCTTAATTAATTATACTCCAAAGATTCCTTGTCTACATTCAACAACCTGACTCTTACAAGTACAGTGCTCTAAAACCAGTTTTTATTTTTGCCCCTTCAGGTCTAAGGAGCTCATGGTCACCTACTTCTTCTGTGGTGAAGAGATTCCTTATCGCAGCATGATGAAGACCCACTGCCTCACCCTGGGACACTTCAAAGAACAGCTTAGCAAGAAAGGCAACTACCGGTAATTACAAAACCACTGACCAAAAACACATCACATATTCTGATAGACGGGGTTTGTTGGGCTGCTTATCTGTGTCTGTATGTTTGTGCACTTGTTATTGCACTTGTATATGCTGAGTGGGAGTGTGAAATAATGGAGGCGGATAGTTGAAAAGAAACTGGGCTGATCCACTGTATTCAGAGCTTACAGAGAGGGGGGGAAATGAGGGGGGGTTGTGGGGCGAATTTTTTCCCCACATCTGGTACTGATTTCCACGGTAAGGCAGCCTTAATAAATATGGCTTTGAAGACTGGGCCATTTTATTTTTTGCACAAAGACCATTGCGAGGCCTTCAAATTCCTCCTCCACACTATTGCATCAGGCATTCAAATCAAACGCTGTAAGCACCTTCTTTTGTTAATGTCTGATAGCAAGATGATGAAGGGAATTTAAAAAACATAAGACCTTATAAGGTAGTTAAAAATATCTGGGCAGTTTGAGGACAATACATCAGGAACTTATTTATCAAGTTGCAGTTCTGCTTATGTTGTACGCCACTGAAAAAAAATACAAACTGCATGCCCATGACATCAACATTAGGTTACAGCCACATCTGCTTGTTAGTCAAGAGAGAAAGCCTGCAAACAAGTCATTGCACCCCTGCTATCCCATAACTCAGCGAGCGAATGAGAAGGGGGGGAGGTGGGGATGAAGCGTCTGGCTTCAATGGCAGCAGAATGTGTGGAGTTGGTTAATTTGGACATGGCAGCGGTACAGTGGAGAACAGTACGCCACGGCTCTGCCAGACGATATTGGTGCCAGATGTTGCAAAGAGAGAAAAATCCTGCCACATAAAACATGTTCCAATAGAAACGACTCCTTCTGTCTCTCTCTGTCTCACTCTCCGAAACAAAGTGATGACTTTGAAACTATTTGTGAGCAAAAATGTAGCAAAAAGAATCAGCCAATTAGACTGAGGAGGGTAATGCATTTATTTGGTTTCTACAAACGCAGATGAAAAGGCTAAATCCTGCCCACTGAAGCTTAGTCAGAGTGAAACTCTGCCAAAATGCCATATCATTAAACAAAGCCATCAATTGTCACATCGCTGCACACTTGTGTAGAAAGTCTTGCAGCTGTGGTAGTGCCACCTCCTCCTCTTTGGCTTGTGCGTAATTACAATCAACACGGCAAATAAAAGTGCATGTGTATGTTTTTGCACAACCCTTCTTATATGTGCTGTTTGAATCACTCTAAACGGAGCGATTGCTCATAAAACAGCTTTTTTAATCTCTTTTTTCTTCTTTTTTTTGTATTCCGAACGCAAGCACACATGGGCAAAATGAGGCATTTTTCCATTACAAAGCTTATCATTAAATCCCCTCCCGCTGATCTTTTGCTGGGTTGAAAGTAGAGAGGAGAAATCATTAGGAGCTCCAGGAGACTTCACAGTCACCGGGACCAAGCTAACCCTGGGAGTTATCTCTGCTTGAGAGAAGAAGAAGAGTGGGCTAGCTAGGTGACCTGTGACCTCCAGGAGACTGTCTGAGCGGTGCCACCCCCCTCCCTTTAAAAGCCCCTCAGGCTCGGCCTACGTCCAATCTATCACACCCACTCAGCGAGCCAGGAAGGCCTGCTCTCCGCTTCCCCTCCGCTTTCTTCCCTTCCCGCTCCCTCTTTCCCCCTCTGTTCTCCGCTGGTGATCGGAACGCTGCCCGAAGTGTGTGTGTGTGTGTGTGTGTGTGTGTGTGTGTGTGTGTGTGTGTGTGTGTGTGTGTGTGTGTGTGTGTGTCGGATGGCGAGTGTGTGAAACATAAGGCATGTTTATGTGCAGGCAGCGGAGTGTGCTCCTTCAGTCACATGCAGACTCTCAGGCACCTGAAATGCCAACCTGTGTGACAGAAAGGCCCTTCATTTGACAGCCAGCCCAATTAGAAGCCATGGAGACACAGAGAGAAGGGGGGGGGGGGGGCTACTGAAGAGAGAAAGAAAGGGGAGGGGGGGGGGGGCCTTAAGACAGCCTCTAATTAACCCTTCAACTTTAATAAGAACTTGCAGGACAGATAGGCATCCGTAATCTGTAGGATGGTCAGGAGTAGATGAGGAGATGAGCACACATGGATGAACACACACACACACAAACACTGACACACACACACACACACACACACACACACACACACACACACAAACAGGCGGTTTCTAGCAGCTTGAATTATCACAGGGAGTGTTTAAAGGCAGGGTTAGCTCTGTTTGTGCAGTGGTGTGATGTGGAGTCAGGCTCAGCCTTTGAAGTGTGCGGGGATGGCATTGAAGGCTATGACTAAGTTGTTTTGAGCAGGATCCATTTCTGGCTCTCAGAGTGTGTGTTTGTGTTTGATTTGGACTAAAGGGAGTTGTGCGCAAGCATGTATATGGAAGTATTCGTGTAGGTGCCTCAAAGCGCTCTTAAAATGCGATGAAATGTATCAGATGCACTCCTGCTGCAACTCCTGTCTTGAGTTCAAGGTTTATTTATTTTTTTCACTCACACCCACGCTCAACATTTTCTAATCACGGACCTCTCTTTGTGTTTCCTTCTCAGGTACTACTTCAAGAAAGCCAGCGATGAGTTTGAGTGCGGTGCCGTGTTCGAGGAGGTGTTGGAGGATGCCAACTTGTTGCCCATGTACGAGGGCAAGGTCCTGGGCAAGGTGGAGAGGATGGACTGAAAGCCACTTTGTTGCCAACCAACCCTTCTCCCGCCCAACCAAAAGCTAAACTGTCCCTAAAGAAACTTGAGCAAGAGACTCTTTGTAATTAACAAAAAATACTCTAGACTCCTATTTTTTTTTTTTTTCTATTTCTTAATATTAAGCTAAACAGAGTTAATATATCCAGCACAAGAGGAGCGATTGAAGGAAGACGAGCCAATGAAGTATGCCGAACCCAGAGGAGGCACCGCCCCTCCCTGACTTTATCAACCAATCAGCCTTAGAAACACAAGGGAATGACACGAGAGACTTAAAAAGACCAACACAAAGGATGATGATGATTGGAGGCTAGTGGGGGGGAGACCCCGCCTCTTCTTAAATATATAACCACTGAAGATGTAGATGACTGTTTTGTTGTGATGAGAGACTGCCGAGTGCAACGGACTAGCACAAACCTGCTCTTAACACTTCGACATCGCTACAAAAACGTCTGTACGTGTGCATATACATACATGCATTTATGTATATATACATGTATTATATATAGAGATGCTTTTCGTCATGAGTTGAAAGTTTTTATTAAGTATTTATTGAGAAAAAAAAACACCCACACTTTACCCTGTTCCTTAGTTTTCTTAAATATACCCCTCCCTCCCTCCCTCCCTCCCTATTTCCAGCCAATGGGCAAGCTGCTTTGAATGTTGGGAGAATACTGTGGTGATATTGTTTGTTTTTGTCTGTTTTTTACTTTATGTGACACTAGCCTAGCACCTCCCATAGCCTTGTCGCCCGCCTGATCTGAACTAACAACCTTCGCAGTGGTCTTGTTCCGAGGCGCACTCTTTTCCATTCTAATGGTCAATCCCAGTCTTATATGCTGCTGATAGTTTGGAATGTTACGTTTTTCACACTAGCATTTCCTCTCCCACGTCCCCGTCCCCCCTCCCTCTATTCTTCTCCCAGTCCGGCGACAGAGCTCAATCTTTTTTGTTGTGCCTTTGTTTGTAAATCAGGCATTGCACGAGGGGTGGGGGGTGTAAACAGATACACACAGAGAGGAGACCTGGAGCACAAGCTGTACCATCTAATAATGGCAGTGTTTACAGCCCGCACACCAAAATAACTTGTGCTAACAAGAACAAGTTTGGGTCACTGAAAAGGACTTTCTCGGGGAAGTCAGCTAGCGTGTCAAAAAAACACAAAAAAGTAAAAAGTGAAGAATTATGGCTCCGATACCTTTTGAATGTTGTTACAGTAACATCGTATATAGCAGAGCTCCTGTATACATTGTAATTATGCATTCTGAAGTATGAATACTGATACATGTGATGCACACACACATAAATGACACACACAGTTTCGCTGGTGTTTTATGAGTACAGCACCTGTGCCTACATGGATGCCATACCATGTGCTACCCTGTTTCAGGGGTTTAATATATATCCCTTGGTTTTCAGAAGGGTTTTATGTTGAAAAGATATTTTTATGCTTTTAATAATATCCTGTAATCATGTTTTTTTGTTTTGTTTTACACTACGGCCATTTGTTTTTTGTTTTGTTTCATTCTATCTTAACTGTAAATTATACATTATATAAAGAGTTTCATTTAAAGATTTACATGGACCTATAATTATTGTAATTATTGAGAGATGTAGCCTTTATTAAAGTTTTATATTTTTCAAATGAAACCTGTTTGACTGGATTTGCTTCTTTCACCATTGTTTTCACTGCACTATAATGTCACTGATATCTTGTTTAATATTACTGCCAGTTCATACCACACAGCAAGTTAGAGAATATTCTTTTCCTGACAGTTATCCAACAGTTTTTCTTGTATAAAAAACTTTAATGAAACAATATATCAAGTAAGCACCGAAGGAGTAACAATAGATTATTAAAATAAAAAAAGTATTAATGAAATCTTTGTAAAGGTTGCTGATGTAAGATGTTGTTTACAAAAACTACTATCCAATCAATTATCACTAGAATCCAAGTTAAAGGTGGGGTATGTAATTTATTTCAGAAACCCTTTTTGTTATATTCCATGGAATGCTCTTAACATCCCGATAGCAATGAATATATCAAATGCTTTTGCAATAAATACATTAAAAAAATGTCATCTGTGGAAGCCGTAGTACTGTAAAAAGCACGACCAATCATCTGAGCCGGCCCGGCTAAAATAACTGGATGGCCTACCTGCCTGTCAGCCTTCCATCAGGGCACAAACTTATCTCGTGCCCTCATTGGTCATGTGCGCGTTCGTGTGTGTTGGAGGAGGGGCTCTGTAAGGAAGTGGCAGATTTTGTTTCGGCTGCGTACTTTCAAATTCTAGCGCACTCGAGCTGGTTTCTCCAAAATGACCTACCCCACCTTTAAGTGTACATGAGTATTTTTACAGTTCACCCTAATGAAAAATATGTGAGGGACCAGGTCGAATGCAAAGGCTATGAGTCACTTCTTTAGAGGCATGATTTTTGTCTGTTTCTTTTACTTTATTTCCAAGATATTCATATACAAACCTTAGAGATCACAAGGCTGTGTTGTTCACTTTACGGAACTTACAAAGCTAACGTTTGTCTGGATCACTAGGGAGTGCATAACAAATATATTTTAGGTTATGGGCGTTCTTGTAGTAAATACAAAAATATAAAGATTCAGCACCTCGTATTATTTTACACGGCAAATGTTTTAACAACATGTCTTACCATAACTTTATTCTCCACGAGGAAAGTCAGGTTAAACAGATATTACACAGAGACATAGGCACGGGGGCTTAGGTACAAAAAAACTAATACACATCTTTCCGTCGAATGACAACATAAAACCTAGTTTTATCAGCCCAAAGTAGTGAAATGGAAATCTCATCTCTAGTTGGGTGAGTCATTGTGAGTGTTTGGTGGACTGAGAAATAAAGATATTATTCAGCCTGTTAGTGTGTAAATCCCATACGGAGGGTAGATGGGACATTCTCAGTAGAGAAGATGGAGAAGTGAAATATCTGAAGTCTCAAAGGAAATTGCTATCCAACGGAAAATATAAGACAAATCAGGCAGTTTAACAAATATAATCTTACTGCAATCCATTCTTGTTACATATTACCAGTCCAATATAACCATTAAAAACATCAGAATGAGCTGTTCCATTATAAATGTAAAACTGTAAATAAATAATAGGAAATGCTGGATGGTGGAAATACAAATCCCCGCCATGCTATAGAGAAATGATATAGACTGTAAGTAAGTAGGACACGTCTATGGAAGCTGTTGTTAAATACCTGTGGTAGTTATCCCTGACAGTAACACCTGCCTTCTGTGTAACCCTCATGTCTTCCTCAGTAATGAAGAACATGAGATGGTACAGCAGCGCAGCTCTGTGATCACATGGTGGTGCAGATTGAAGGTGCGGAGGTGAACTGATTAATTTATAAAAGTCAGCCATGTTTTTGCATTGTAAAGTAAGGCAAACAGCTGGACTGTAGACCTTCAAAAAGTCTGTTCAAAATAAATAATTGAAGTTTAATTTCATGAGTTGTTAATCACTGTACACAGAAATCACTAAAAGCCTGAATCCTTTTGATGCGTCACAGCCCCTCAGTGGGTAAATGTACGCGTTCTGTATTCAGCAATTAACATAGACATTAAGCATGGAAATGGGGGCACGGGCTAATTGGTCCAATTAAAGAGCAATGAGGACCAGCTACTCTCTTACAGTCAACACAAACAGTAATGAAGCATCCCCTATCAGAGGGGCTAGCCATGTTTGCCTCAATTATCCGGCTTTATTTCAGCGGCGGGGGGAGATCATTCAGTGGTGGGGGGCACGGGCTGTCTGCAGACTCACTCACTTGTACAGCTCAGTAGCCACGTAACAAAGATAACAGCAGTCATTACTGACAAGCTTTCACTTCCCACAAAATGATTTTTCATTTTGTTGTTCCTGGCAATATGGCAACAAAAAGAGGAAGAAAAACCGACAAGCCGCCAATGCTTGTCACATCTATGAGACACTGTAGGTTTTTCTATTCCTTAAAGCACATACTTTTTTACCTTAAAAAACATTTCTTTACTGCAGCCACCCCTGATGTTTGTATTTCTAACACCGCAATTTAATTTCCCGGACTCTTCTCTTCAAAGGCGCAGAGCGGTGAAAGTCCTTCACATGATCAATGCATTACATACCGCCCAAACCCTAAAATCAATTCCTCGATGCCTCTAACTTCACAATGAGGAGGGTTAAATCAGGCTGAACCAGCTAGTTTCTGTTCAACTGTCTAGAATGGGGCAGGTGTAACCTTCTACCGTCCACCCCCGCCCCCCCAGCTCTATTTTTACAGCCTCTTGGGGCTCTGGCTTTGAAGGGAAACCTATCCAGGAAAATTGCTTGCATTTTCCCCAGAGAAACGTTGATAGATGGACATTGACTGTCGCATTCCCGCTCTTGCACATCAGGAGCTCCCCCCCCCCCCCCCCGCTATCTTCCCTCAGCCTTTCAGTGGCATTCCAGTCCGAATAGGTGCTTTGTTGAATTGCAACGCAGGTTATACACAGCTTCTGAAGTTCCTGCTTTCACAGAAACATGACTTTTGACTGGCTCGAACTTACATTTAATTTAAAGCACACAATTCTGTCTTTTCTTCAATGGTGAACATTTCTATGGTGTAACTTTGATGTCATTGGCAGCATGCTCTTTTCTTCCCCCACACACCCCATATGTCCCAGACGCCGCCACCTTCATCCCTGTCTTCTCTCCAAACAGTGGCATTCATTTCTCCATGCATTGTGGTAATTGGCATAGCATGGTTGGGGCTATTGTAAACATGGCTGTGTGAGACTGGTATAAAGAGGCACCAGTCACTCCCCAGGCTAAGCTAGTGTGTGAGGCAGGCAGGGGCTGCTGCCTATTGTGCGGGTGAAGCCTTTGTAGATTTGCAGTGGGCCCCTTTTTAATCGCCTTCTCATACGCCGCTTGCCGACTCGCTTTGCATATTTAATTGCCAGGTAAAATCATTTTGTCGGCAATCCGTTTAATTATTTGATTGTACAGTAACCGTAAAGAGTGAGCGAAGGGAAGAGGAAGGGATAAAGGGGGATGGAGAGAAGGGGAGAGACAGAGAGAGAGCAGCAGGCAGCAGAGAAAGAAAGAGGTCTGTTGCCAGAATAGACATCAAAGCTGTGCCTTGATGTTGATGTTGAATGGGCATTAATGGTTTCTGAAGGCAAGAGATTGCACAGAAAAAAAAGAAAGAGAGAAAAGAAAAAAAAATAAACCCTCCTTTTTCTCT